TTAATTTCAACTATAATAACTGTGTGTAATATTAAGGTGTCATGCAAGTAACAAGCAAACCTCTCTCTGTCACTAGGACTAATCTTCTTCCAGTGTTTCTTTACTCTCAGCCTCAGCATTACTGAGGCTGACTGACGAATCTACAAATAAGAGGTAAAGTGAAAAAACGTTATGTCATAAGTAAAAATGAGCTGATACTCATCACTCTCTCATGTTATGTAGAAATGATAGCTGAATCCCATAAGATAAAGCTATGTTTTGCTGTTCAGTCTCTCATACACACAGTACCTGAGGGTTCTGGGAGCCGCTCATGACAGCACACAGGGCTGGTATAATGGCTGGGTCTTTGAAAGTCTGTTTCAGCTGGGCTGTGGCCTAAAAGGGGACACGAGAGATCTCACTAAGTTACAATGGCTGCCACAAATACATTACTGTCAAAATAACAGAAAGGCAATATACATAAATATATATTACAACGTGCCGCCAAATAACTCGCAACCCAAAATTTGATTTTCCTTCTTCAACATGAAGTTGAGGCTCCTTCACTGACAGTAAGCAGCTAAGGGTAGAATACTGTGGTTTCACAGTTAGCTAGTCGTATGTTACAAGACGTAAATTTAGCTAGCTAGATTAGTTAGCTTAATCCAACAGGCATTAACTTTAGCCATTAGTTTTCTAGCTAGATTAGTTAGCTTAATCCGACAGGCATTAACTTTAGCCATTAGTTTTCATACTTGTCATCTGTCTAACAAACGAATGCTAACTTGGACAAGATATTAGCGGCGTTACCTGCTGAATAACTGCATTGTCAGGCTCCATCAGCTGTAAAAGTATCTGCTCTAGTTCCACTGTCATCTCGGCAGTTCGGAGCTGTTCAGTTAATTTGTTACGACCGGTAACGTTAACACTTATAGTAAACTTGAATAGTCAAACGACTGGTCCTTTCACGGTGTGGCTATCATGCTACACCTGTCAGATATGTTAACAGTGCCTCTTCAACCGATAGCTACAAAGTTTACAGTGAAAAATCACTTAAAAACAGTTGGATGAAATTGCGAAAAGGCAAACGTTTGAGGCACGAGCTCGGTCTGGACGGTATATACTTCTATAAGCACGCGGGACAGAACCGGCCCATGAGCTCCACGTGAGTACAGTTAAAGGGAACCACAGCTGTCACTACTTTCAGACTGATGGAAGCCACCAACTGGATAGGAGGCCGTACTGCAACATATTCAAATCCAGAAAGCGCTTTTACTGTCCTAATGAGTGGTGGAAAATAACCAAGTATATTCACTCAAGTAGTGAACTTGTCCATTGTTGATATAATTGATTTGCTTCAATATTTCCAGTTTTTGCTATGCAAAACTTTTACTTTATGGTAAAGGGAAATGTTGTACTTACTATTACACTACTTCTATCTATATTTACTAATTGCTTTAAAACATACAGTAGGAAGTATGATCATATGAGCTACACTGATACATCAGCTGATATTAGTTTTCTGAAGTATTGCTGGCCAGTGGTGAAAGAAACACTCAGATTCTTTAGGTAAGTAAAATTAGCAGCACCACAGTGTAACATTACTCTGTAAAAACTCTGTATTCAAAGTTACCAAAGTAAAAGCACAAAAGTATTAGCATCAAAATATGCTTAAAGTATCAAAAATAAATGTACTAATTATGCAGAATGGCACATTCAATATTAATATACTATTGTATTGTAATATATTGTATTGAAATGCATTTTTGAATTATATTTACTAACACATTATCTTGTTCATCAAGTTAATGTTGCAGCCCATAAAGGTGGACTTATTTTTTATTACTTTAAGACATATCATTTGAAGTACTGCTGGGTAGCTTATGAATTTCCCACCAGAGATCAATAAAGTCTGATGATTATATTGTATTTTGTTTTATTCATCGAATCCTGAAAACCAACTTAAAGTTACCAAATAAAATTTTGTATTTGCCTCTGAAATGTAGTGAACTTGAAGTGTGAAGCAGCAGAAAATGGAAATACTCAAGTAAAGTACCTCAAAATTGTACTTCAGTACTTCAGTACATCCAACCATCCATTTATTTTCTATACCGCTTATTCCTGAACAGGGTTGTAGGGGGGCTGGAGCCAGTCCCAGCTGACACTGAGTCTATCACAGGACTGACACTTGGAGACAAACAACTGCACATACCCACACTCACTTCTACAGGCAATTTAGAATCCCCAATCAACCTAAGCTGCATGTCTTTGGACTCTGGGAGGAAGCTAGAGTATGTTAGGTATTTTCTTAGTTAGGTAGATATTTAGAGATTTGTTGTCTAGAAATGTATAAGGCAGACAGGATGTCTAGCCCAGGCTGTTGAATGCTTAGTGCATTGTCATGAGTTCTGCAGGCTGCATCTAGGATGTTTTTAGATACACACCACTAATCAACAGCCACACACTTTAATTTTCTCCATGTTTTGACTACTGCTCTGGTCAGCTGCCAAGCTGGCATATCAGGTGACGTCACGGTTTGACGTTGCCTGTGTAGGATGGGGCTAGCCCAACCAAGTGATTAAATTGTATAGGCTATGAGGTTCGGGGCTTTTTTCCATCTTCCGGGCTGCCTGTGCGCAGTACTGGAGGTGGAAGATGCCTGGACGTGTGATGTTAATTTTGCCTGTGATCCTTTGAATAAACCAGCACGGTTATATTTTTTATATACTCAAGTGGTCCGCTTCGTCTCTCTGAGTTCCTGGTTGAAAGAACCGGACGTGGCTTTATAATAGAATAAAGCCTTTAAGTACCTGGAGAAAACCGACACAGGCACAGGGAGGACATGCAAACTCCACACAGAAAGTCCCCGGTTCGGCCCAGAACATTCTTGCTGTGAGGTGACAGTGCTAATCACTGCGCCACAATGCCGCCCTTACTTTAATATAGTACTTGAGTAAATGTACTTAGTTACTTTCCACCAGCTGTTGCTGGGTTCACTGACAATTAGGCCCAGTGTTGACACAATGACTGAAAACTGAAACAGTTTTCATCAGTGATTACCTTTTCCACTACAAGAAAATAAGCCAGTTACACTTTCACAGAGTCCATGGTGATGTTATGTTTTGCGCAACCAACAGAGCAAAGCCCAAAGTTTTTCATTTTACAATGATATATGAGAAAATCCTCACATTTGAGAGTGTTTTCTGTCAATTCACTAATCAATTAAGAGTTTGAGCATTAGTACAGAAACCTCTGCTACATAGTGTGTTCATCATGATATACTGAAAAGTGTCCCACTCAGTAGTATATAGCTGAGTAAATGGGGACTGATATTAATATGTGAAATAGCTATTGTATACTGTCCTCTATTTACCCCAAATCCACAAAACCATCACTAATTATTACCTTTATGATAAAATATATCACTGTACAGAGCCCTCAATATTATAAGGATCATTAAAGCAGGCATTATGGCAGAACAGTTGAATCAGATTAGATTGTATAGCTGTTGTTAGGTATTTTTAGTCAGATAGATATTGGATAGATACTTTATGTATTAGAAATGTTTAGTGGAGATAGGATGTCTAGTTAGACTGTTAAATGCTTAGTCATGCTTATGAGTTTCTACAGGGTACATCTGGTCAAGGATAACTAGAGAGAAGAGTTGATGACTGTCAGCAGACAGGGTGTTTAATATTATTATTATGACGTGTATAACTGTAGCCTTAGCCATAATATGTTCTTATGTTTAAGACACGACATGTTACTAGAGGTCGTGTGAGAATGTTTTTAGCTACACACCACTTAACCAACAGACACACACAACACACACACACATTGATTTGCTTCATGTTTTGACTAATACTATGGCCAGCTGCACGGCTGGCACCAGAAACGTCACGGTTTGACGTCCCTGTGTAGTATGGGGTTAGCCCAAAACAGATATAATGTATAGGCCTGGTGGGTTCAGGGTCTTTCATCTTTCATCTGCCTGCGAGCAGTTTGGAGGTGCAAGATGCCTGAGTGTGTAATGTTAATTTTACCTGTGTTCATTGAATAAATCAGCACTGTTTTGTAGTTACTTGGACTGTCTCGTCTCTCAGAGCCCGTATGGAAAAAATTACCGGGTACAACACTGTGGCCACTGATTGTAAGTAAAAATTTCAATTAAAAAGGGACATGGCTACATGATAAGTTTGTTTTACTTCTAACACTATACATCTAGCCAGAACTACATCTATACATTTATTTCAATCAAATTCTCAATACAAGGTTTGTAACCAAGTATTTTTCCAATATGGTATTAGTGTGTCTTTGACCCACCACTGATTTAAATCTAAATACCATCTCTGATAGACTTAGAGCAAAGAATGGCATTTAAATCAAAGTACCTATAGGCAGGTGAGAGATGGTGGCCATCTGATCGGCCAATTGCAGACTTTTAACATAACAAAAGAGAGACTGATGGTTTCTCACTTCACAACAGGCAGACCCAATACTGAAAACACATCTTTAGCGACTAATCTGCTCTCAGACTACAAAGAAGTGTGATTCAAGATCTGCAAGCGCTTTGAGTCAGCTTACAAAACCGGTCAAAGGTTTGGACACACTTTCCCAATGAACTGGCTGGGAAGCTGAATCAAACCTTTGATTAGTAGTGTATATTTAGGTGTAAACAAGCCTACTGCTTATCTGTATTTACATTTAGATTTATTATAGGATGATAAACAGATGTTCTATGGTTCATTTGGCAATAACATACTAGGGAAATATGTAAACAAATCATAAAAGTATATTGCCATGTATGTGGGTGCTGTACCCGGTTTTGATTATAGCAGTGCCTTTTCAATGCCAAATTCAAAAACTGACTGAAATAAATGCCAATCTTTCACAAACACAGTTTATAATGTACACATCAAAAATCTGATGCAATCCTTAACAACTGTCCTGCCATGAAGCCTACATTTATTACAATTATTATCCCTGTAATATTCTTTTTTTTACTGTCATTGAGGTGTTGCTTCATTATGTTTGAGCACTAAGGCCATAGTTAGTGGTGGTTTTGTTCTTAACTGCATTATATTTTCAGATGTTTCTATATGCCTACAGTCATCAAAGAAGTGTCTGCAGTCCTCTTAGTGCATACCAGTGCTGATGTACTGCACACCTGTCCACCTACCCTCCTATACACACACATAACATTAACACCCTGCTGAATGTCTTGGCTCATACAATAAGAGAGATCAGTGGAAATGCTAATGTGTCTATTAGACTCACCGTTCTCACATCATTTCATTGCTAACTGAGTCATTACCAGATCAATACAGACAAGGAGGGAGAACACAAACAACCACTTGGATGGAAATGTGCAACATAATCTAATTCGTCTTTGTGAAAAGAAGTGCAAATAGAGGAAAAGTCGATCTGCATCAACACATCCAACCAACTGCACAGGATGATGGGATGCTGGGATTTGAAGCCAGAGTCTCAGGTTTGCTCATTTATGTGTAAAATCCCAAAATTTAACTGTTAATTTTGAGTTTTAATTATGTTTGAGGGGTAATGCAATGGAACATGTCTGGTACAGAAAACTGTTCCATGCTTAGAAAGAGCTCTTGCTGCACAAAGTATTTATCCAGGCAGAATAGTCACTTTTAGTGCTCAAGACACCAAAATATGAGGCTTTCCTAAGCTCCATTATCACTAAGTAGCAATACTGCCCTTTCCTTATTCAGGATGCTTCTTACATAGCTGAAGGTATGCTCATAAAATAAACCCAAAGACAACAACTATCTGAGCCTGGAAACACTGAGGAAATACTGTGTAACATGATTTGTTTTCACTTGCATAAACAGCATTTTGTATGAGATTCCAGTTCATCAACTATTCTAGATATTCAATGTGTCCTCATATAATCTGAACATTTTGAACAGAGGTGGGAATTACATTTACTCAAGTACTACACTCAAGTACAATTTTTGGTACCAATACTTGAGTATTTTCATTTTCTGCTACTTCATAATTCACTGCATTTCAGAGACAAAGAATGTCTTTTCATTGCATTATATTTATTTGAGAACTTTAGTTACTTTTCAGATTCTGCTGAATAAAACAAAATACTGTATAATCATAAGACTTTATTGATCAGTGAGAAATTCACAAGCCACCCAGCTGTAAAGTAAATAGTTAATATTAGCTGCACCTTACAGCTGCAACATTAAATGTGATGAACACAATAATGTATGAATAATTAGAATCCAATAATATGACACGGTATTGTGAAGTGTCTGATTCTGCATGAGTACCTTTACTTTTTATACTGTAGGTCTACTTCAAGTATATTTTGATACTAATACTTTTGTATTTTTAGGTAAATATCACTTGGATCGCGGGATCTTTACTTGTAACAAAATATTTTTAAGCTATATGGTGTTTTAGTTTTAAACAATCTGAATACTTCTTCCACCACTGATTTTGAATTTAATTACAGCTCAGTGTCAGTATTAGCCAAAAGAAGTGGGCTCAGTTAAAGTTACTGATATTTGGTCACGTTAATTGTGATTTTTTTTTATTTATTTTTGACTTCCAACCTGAAGACATTGTTTTTAAAAGCAAAGAATTAACCGAGGTGGCCAATGAATGGCCCCGTTGCCGCCCATTGAGTGATTGGCTCATATGAAAAGCCACCTATGTTCCTGCCCACACCACCTTTTTAAGTAGACAATTATAGAAAGGCCGGATGCAGTTGTTTTCTGTTTGATGGGCTCTAGGTTTTCGAGCTGACTGGTCAGGGGCTGTTATTTACCCTAGTTTTCAACAGTGCTTCCCATGTGCCGGAGACATGGCAGAATGGAAGGCGCAGGTATCTTACAACTACAACTCCTCTTACCGTGCTTATGCCTACGGCCTAGTGTACCAGACCGGGACCGAGCAGAACCACGGGAACCTGAACAGCTGGGCTGAAGCCGGTGCCAAGGACTTAAGCAACTCCAACGCCGGGCTAACACAGCCCTATTACGCCACCACCGCCAGGACCCGGGAGGACTCCCCGCCTGGCATTAACGTTACAGAGCAGCAGGCTGTGAACGGCCAGTGTCAGTACCGGGGCTCCGGAGTCGTCTACCTCGGTGATACCCAGGCAGGCTGTCTGCTCGTGGCCGGACCGCACCCGGCCACCTACGAGGCACGGGAACATGAGGCCAGGCGGACCGGAGGCGACTCAATCAGCGACTCGGAGGCACACACATCACCAGGTATGTAGCCTACGCTAGCAGTTTCCCAAGGAGCAGAAATTGCCACTTATACGTTACCTAATATAATTTAAAGATGCTATAAGCGAATGGTTTCCTCCGTCCAGTTCACTTCTGCCTCGGTTTCAAAGTTTTTCAAATATACCGCCTGTTTATTTAATTGGGTGAAGCCAGCTCACCAGAGGATTTGAGACGAGCGCCCAAAATTCAAAACGTGTATGAAGGTGACGAGGACACATTGGATAGGTTGTTGAACTACTGTGAAAACTGAACTGCAGCGAATTAAGCTACCTTAGGGAGAAGCGTAGTATGGTTTAGTAAAGTTACTTAGAAAAATAGGCTCAAACTACGTTGTAAAAAACAAAGAAAAAAATATTACATTGACAAGGTACATGGGCTAAAAACATGTCAGCAAAATATGCTACTCATTTGAGTTTATTACCTGAGAAACGATCCCATTTGGGCTTTTCACAAGGAAAAAGTTGCAAGAATTTTATTTTTGTAGACAAATCTGGATGTTGTGCTATCGAACTCCAGCCAAACAGTAATAGTCAGACTTAATTAAACATGCACCTTTTTTTAGGTGGTATAAACAACTAAAGTCTAAAACTGGGGCCCCTCTTTTTTTTTTTTTTTTTTTTTTTTTTTTTTTTTTTTTTTTTTTTTTTTTTTTTTTTTTTTTTTTTTTTTTTTTTTTTTTTTTTTTTTTAACTCGTGCAGCAATATCTTTTGTTTATATGACACATGAGCAGTCTCAAAGCTCTTATCCATTAGGTAGTTCTGAAAATGGCACAAAAGGACTACAGTGACATGCAAAACAACCACATAGGCGCACACACACTAGTAAAAAGAGAGCAAAATAGCTAAAAGAGATGTGCAAAACACACAGAAAAAAATTAGATGCAAAATGGCCTCAGTTAATGTTGGATGCAAAACTACTACAAAGAGGGAAAAAAATTACCAATAGAGTATTTTTCAGTCTGGGGGTCTTGTTCTTATGTAGGAGGGTGGGGGCCTTATGTGTTTGTACCCAGGGCCTCAGTGTCCATGGAGGAAATAATTATGTCACTGTTTGTTCACCTTTATTTAGATTCATGGAGCTCTGACATGAGCAGAGAAGGCGTCATCCCCCAGGCAGACCCTGCTACCTGGATGAAGAAGGCTTTTGACAATGATGAAAGCAGGAGCCCTGATGCCAGCGATGGTGTTTCCAGCTCTCTCATGGAGGAGCCGCAGTCTTTTTCTGTCACAGGGGCCGAGAACACCGACACCACCTCTCTATACCCACCCTTAAGTGCCCCAAAGAAGCCGCTCATGACCACTGCCAGTAATCCCAAAGGAAAGGTGCGGGCAGCCTTCTCAGAGAGCCAGCTGAATGCTCTTGTGCAGCGCTTCACTGTCCAGAGATACCTCACTCCAGCTGAGATGAAGAACCTTGCAGAGATGACGGGGCTAACCTACAAACAAGTGAGGCCATTTAAGAACGTTCTTCAATCACATGCACTACAACATTGAATTGAATTGAAGTACACATTCTGATCAGTTGTTTATCTCCATCCTGTTTGTAGGTGAAGACTTGGTTCCAGAACCGAAGGATGAAGCTAAGGAGGCACCAGAAAGATACGAACTGGGTGTGTGAGCGCTACACCATCAACAAGGGCAACCCAATTCATGGGGCCATGTACAGCAACATTCCTTCCCATTTCCAACCTGTAAGTACCTAAAATACACATGCAACACACATTTTTCTTAGTTTCACCATATTATTTGGGAACTGGAATTTTTGAAAAAAAAAATTCATATGAAACTTGCAACTATGGTAAAAAAAAAAAAAAAAAAATCAGAAATCACTGATTCATCAAAGTTTTCTTGATAGTTTGACTTATCTTTTTATTAGCAAAATGCCATATTGGGAAAAAGTCCCAATATTGACTTCCCCAAATGTGGTGGTATTTACATGGATTGTGCACACGCGTTCCCTGATTAAGAGCTCAAAATATTGAAGGCAAACAGTTGTTTAGGGATCAGACCATTGTCCTTATTAACTGTTAATAGAGTGCTTTGGACATAGAGCATGATGTCCTTAATGGAGGCCAATCCGTAGTCTTGTTACAGCCTTAACGGCAACATGAAACACTGTCAAACATACTGTGATAGACAGTAGGATGCTGTATAAATGTGATGCCATAAATAAATTAGAAACACCATCTGTCTATCTTTCAGTATCAAGGAGAGGCCCGGCCCCAACTAACGGAGCATTACAACCAGCACATAATGGAGGCGGCCTTTAGGAAGACTGCTCCACAGAACCTGGCCTTTTATCTGGCCGCTGTGGGCGGTGCTGCTGGATCCACTGGCTACCCGTCCTGGTCCTCCAGCACATCCCAGACTGCGGTGTCCACCAGGGCCCAGGTGGCTGGCTGGACCATGCCCACAGGCGTTACTCATTATGAACACAACTCCAATGCGTTCAACCCAGCCGCTGCGAATAACACCAGTCCTGATCTCAGCTTTGACAGCAAAGATGGGAGCCTGTGAGCAGCCGCAGCTCCTTTAACACAATGATGATACATGATGTCAGCCAGTGCTCAATGTTTGTTGACGGGCATTAATACCTGTGTAAATGTTACCCATCAGCCGGGTTTTTATTCTTCCTTACAGGTCTGCTGACTGTAGTTTACTTTAAGTTGGGTGTACATATGCCTCGTTCAAAATGCCTGTTCAGAAATATTTCACTTTTTATCCTGAGGTTTTATTTTTTTTATATGCAGCTATTTAATGTATGTTCTTTGCGCTTGATAATACAAGATTAGTCCAACTTGAACCCGTTCTTTGTATTACATGGGGTTTTTTTTATAACAGTTTTAAGCAAAGCACCGCTACAGATCCCATGTGCACACATTTCAGCATATCGTATGTAAATACAAGTTCATTTTGTCAACTTAAAACAGTGTCTTCATTTCACCGTGTTTTGCTGCAGGCATAATATGGTAACACCTTTAACATCAGTTTACATATTTTCTCTGATTTGTAATTGAACAGATATGGATGTGAGGTGACAGTTTTGCCACTGGGAGCAAACACCTGCTGTGATATCCCTGGCAGGGCTGTGGTTACAACTAAAAGCGGGGGGGAAAAAAATGCTTCACATACTTTACAAGCCATCAAGACAAGGCAGTTTGTCAACTTCAAAAATAACTTGTTTACAGGAGATGGGCAGATGAGGCCAAAGCTTGTTTCACTCCCATGAAGCACACTATTTACATGCATTGCGTCAAGCAAGGAAACCCATGTGACTTGACTGGCACCTTAGAATGAGCTTCACCGAGTTAGATGTGTGAAACTTTTGCAGCTAAACTAGGTCCATTACTAGAGATAAGAAACTTGCTGGGAAATATGACATGGACTAGAACACCTCTATCTGATACCAAATACTCTTATTGAAGTACCAGTGTAATTTTATTATTTTCCAATTACATCATCAACCATGAAGTGAAAATGCATGCGCCCAGACAAATATTTAGTGGCACCAAAAATATTTTATATCTAGTCTTTTTGGACAAGATGTATTATTACACATTGAAGCACTTCTGATCTAAAGCATTAAATTTCAAAACACGCAAGTTTGTTTGTACTCATTGGCACATATGGTATGAGACTAAAATTTAACATGTGCTGCAAGAACACCAGATGTCGCTGAACCTTGTCTGAAGCCCTGAAGTTTAAAATTTTTTTTTTTCTCAGCACAAATGGCAAAACAGATGCAAATCCTCAAAGCATCACTGCCACTTTGTCAACATGGCAGAACTTGAGCATTTTGAGCTTACATAATTTAGGATAGTGTTTCACAGCTGACTGTAAAGGAAGATGAACAGACTGAAAACAGATTTAAAAAATCTGCTCAGAGTAGTTTGCTGGCAATATCGTACTAAAAAAATCTTTTTATTGAAAAGGCTATATTTACAACTGAACCAAAAGTCACAGTCCCTGGTGACCAAATAATACAATGACAATATTGCTCTCATCGCCAACATTTTACAACTGCTCTCCAGTCTACAAGGCTTTCATTCCTCTGAGCCATGTGGAGCTTGCCACACTGTATTGTACAGTAACTGATTTGATTAGATTATGCAGACTCTTCATTCTACCCATTCACTCCTGATTATTCTTTTGTACTGAAATATCCCATTTTATCCCTTAAATACATGAACACCCTCTCACAACTCACGCTTCATTTGTGCATCCATTTATCCCTCCAACCAGTCAACCCCTATTCCAACAATGACAGCTCTTGTCAAATCATGGTAAAGGCCCCTGTTCCTCCTCCCATTAACCCCATGGAAGGTGTATGTCCGTGTGTAAGACTGAAAGAGCAAGAGAGGAGAAGGAAGATTGTCTGTGTGTTTGTTTAGAGGTGTGTGTGTTTGTGTGCACATTTCACATCTAGTCCATCTTTAGGCTCCGGTAGATGTAGCGAATAAATGTCAGTGAGGCCCAGAATGACACGCTGCCCAGCATCAGTGAGAAGACCAGTGCTGTTAGCAGAGAGTAGCCAAAGAACTCTGTGGTCTGCACCAAGCCACTCATAGAGGACCGGTTCCGGTAGTAGAAAACAGAGTAGACAAAGATGAAGAGGCCGGTGGAACCAGTGCTCAGGATGCTCCGCCACCACCACCTGTAGTCCTCACCTGACAGCAAGAAGTAGGTGAGTGCCACAGAGATGCACGCACCCACTGAGAGGAGGATGGCAAAAACACAGAGCAGGATCCCATACAGGGTGTAATGCTCTCTGCCCCAAACGGTGGCAAAGATGTAGTACAGCTCCACTGAGATGGCACTAGGAGACAAAAATGACGGCCAGCAAGAATGAGTGTGATAATTTAATTCTGTTACTTCTATTTGGGTGGATACGTCTTTGGAATAATAACTAAGACCCCGTTTAGACTTAAAAAGTATCCTGGGTGATTGGATCACAAATGGACAATGCTAAATTAAAGTAAGTGACCACCGAGGTAGATTCAATTAAATTTTATTTGTATAGTGCCAAATCACAACAAAAGGACACAAGGTCTAGACTTTACTACTATAATTGTGATCAGATCACTGAAACCATGCATTTGACTACACATCTTTTGTAGTGTAATTGCTAAAATATCCTGATGCATCTTGGACCAGGGCGTTAGAGATGTGACATCAATGCTGGACGTGGGGGTTGTTTTGTTGAGAGCACTCAACCCTCAAAAAAAAATTAAATATGGAGAAAAACATCTGATGCAGATCCATCAATATATTATGAAAGTGTTCATAATATATACATGTACAAATCTGACTGGTGATTGTCTGGTAATAGACTGACATAATAACTGTAGCTGTAGCCTTTTGATATTTAAGCAGTAGTGAAATCTGAACACAGCTGGACACTTGGAGATGCATGAATATTGACAGGCGTGAACGGTGACATGTTTCAGCTGTCCACTTGTGTTCAGATCACTAAGACACACTAATACCAAGTCTAAAGGGGGCCTTAAGCGCTGACTTAAAAAGACACAAGAGTATCACATTAAATGAAAATAGGTGGAGAAGATACATTTCAAATGTTATCCAAATTATTCCCTTGATTAAAGCACCACGTTCAAAGGCAGCTCACCTGAATGGCAGGAAGCCGCCGATGGCCATGTGCACAGCTGTGTGTTTGTACCAGGGCTGTGGGGGAATCTGCCGAGGGATGTTGCGGGTGCGGCAGGGTGCCTGGAAGCTGCCAGCTCGATTCTTTCCCATGATGCCACCGATGACGGTGAGGGGGAAGCCCACCAGTACCCAGGCACCCAGCAGGAGAAGCACAGTGGTGGCGGGAAGAGCCTGTGTGGAGCCGCTCCACCAGTGGATCGAGTTCACTACACTCCACGTCAGAAACAGAGGAGCTGTGGAAACACAGCACCAAGCCACTAAATACAGGGGCATTATTTCAAATGATCCTGTCTGTAATTTTGCCTGTGTGTGTGGTTTTTTGTTATTGCTGTTTTTTTATTTGATTGTTTGTTTAATAAGCCATTTTTTGGCATTTTTGTCTTTGTTTATTATTTAAGTGGGTTGCCGAAAGGCAGACAGGAATAGAGGAGACATACAAGAGGACCTGTGATGTCGGCGGCCGTACTCGAACAGCCAACATCATGCACACACTGTACCTGGGCATAGGATGCTCCGTACCCTAAGCTGTCAGCCATCAGGGTGGCCAAGGTGCTGTTAAAATGACCAGTTATATTAATGTTTTTAATGGAGGGTAATAACAGTTTCCTTTCCCTAGGTACTTGCCCAGCATTTTCTCTAATACCAACATGTTTTTGTATATTAGCAACATGTCTTTCTGTGTCATTGATATCTCAATAATCTATTAAAATTGTTGTAATCTGTTGGCTGAATCCCATTTATATTTTGGCAATTTTACAATTATTTGTAAGAGGTTAAAATATTTCTCTGACACAACAAACAGAAGGCAAAGTAACAGTCTTTACCTCCTTAATAACCATAATCCAGATCTATAGAGACAGTTATGAAGACATAACCTCTGTTAAAAATAAACAGTATTAATAAGTCATCATCTGTTCCCAAAAGGTCTTCTATAACTTCATTATGCAACTGTCTCATGTTAATGCATAAATGGAAAATGCCACGATGAGAAACTGGTGGCTGTACAAAATAAATTGGTATACTGTACGAACTCCAGGTTGTTGTCTGTATTGGCAGAGAAAAGATTATTTGAATCAGAAATACTTTCCACACTCTGTGTAGATACCGGTACGGAAATAAACTCAGATGCTTTTTATCCAACTCACCCGAGAAGAGAGACGAAGTGAGGATGATGTTCCATACCCAGCGCTGGCCGCTGATCTGTGTGTAGAAGCTGCAGGAAACATAGCCTGACACACAGCTGGTCAGAGCGTACAGGACAATAGCTGCTGAGTTGATGGCGCCGTGGCGGTGCACGTTGAACATTCCCAGCAACGCCATTATGATGATCCCTATTGCAAGGATGACACTTTAGTGTTCGGTTTCTGGTTGTTAAGACATTCTGCTGCACAGTACAATGATTGCCATGGGTCAGTGGTGCTCAGAAGTCTAGTCAGCTCAGGTTTTGAACAGAATAACAGCAGTATGTTATACTGTTTTGGACTGTAGCAGCCTGTGTGTGTTGCTGTGCTTATGTATATATTCGAGAATGAATGCTCACCTGTGGCAAGGGTAAGGAACTGAGCCCCCACACCCAGCACAGCGCACAGCAGGCTTTTGTAGGGGGGAAACCTGAAGACTTCAGTGTGTATGATCTTCCAGCCGTTGTCTCCCTGGTCCAGATCATCACAGCCACCCTCCTCCTCCACATTGTACCTGCAGGTGAGGGAAAAGTGTTTACAGCCAGAATGTTGTAATGGACCAGACAAGCAGCAAAAGCTCTTCCACACACCTTTACACTCCCTATACACTGCTGCAGGAAACTATGATCAACAAGGTGTCTATGAGTTACACCCTAAAAGATTGCACAATTAGTTTTCCATGTTTAAGCCAATCCATTTACCATCTATTTAAATGTGCCAGTAGTACCCGTCATTTCTCAAAGTACAGTGCCTTGCGAAAGTATTCGGCCCCCTTGAACTTTGCGACCTTTTGCCACATTTCAGGCTTCAAACATAAAGATATAAAACTGTAATTTTTTGTGAAGAATCAACAACAAGTGGGACACAATCATGAAGTGGAACGAAATTTATTGGATATTTCAAACTTTTTTAACAAATAAAAAACTGAAAAATTGGGC